TTTTTTCCTCAACAATGCATGGCCGTCGTGGACTTACTCGACTGCACCTGTAAAAAATAAACTAAATGGTCTATTTATCACCTTTTCTCATTGTACTATCTGTTGGATACAGACGCTGACCATTTTTGGGGTGGAACACTGCTAGAAAATGTTGAAATGGTATAGGTTTACCGCCGCAATCACCACTATTGGGTTCATTAAGAGGCGGGACCTCCGAGTTTAACGCCCAAATGGAAATTTCGTGCAAAGTGCCTTTCCCAGGAACACAACCCGAGCCCGCAATCTCACGATTACGAGTCCGGTAGGATACTACTAGGGAGAGAGACTACTGTGGACTGACAACATAAATTTTGAATCCCGAGTGGGGAGAAATTTTTCTCGAGGATCTTGGTCTTTCTGCTGGGATGTTGCATCCCTTTGCATGAAGGAGACCCAAGTTCAATTCCTGAGTCGGGGAGATATTTTCATCAAGCATCTCGGTCTTTCTGCTAGGATGATGTATCCCTCTCAGTCAGGGTTGGCTCTGACGGGCATGGTTGAAGCCTGCCTCCTAAATGATCTAAATTGCGTTGATGAGGGCATAAAAATAAATTAATTTAAAGGTTAAAAAAACCCAACAGGGCTTCACATAATGTTGACATCAAACCGTAATAAGAGTTAGATTTTTGTCCTGTATCACAGCATCTTGATTAACAGACAACATTAACAGTACATTCAGTATGCAATTCTCACAAAGGAATTGCAATTTTTTTTTACAAAAGTCAAGATATATTGATTATATTGAATGAATTTTAACATTCCAACACAGAGAAATACAAACGGCGCGCGCATGCAAAACTAGATATAAAAAACAAAAAAAATCAATAGATATCACCACAGATACTTCCAAGATAAAAACAAATTTCAGAATGGAAATTTAGTTTCCACTTCATGGCACACATGAATCATATCTCTCATCATAACAAATGATAAAGACAAACAAAAGAGAGAGAGCATAACAGGCCAATTCCACCTAATACAGTCGAACCTGTTCTAATGGCCACCTGTCTAAGACAATCCCCTGTACAAACGGCCACTTCCCACACTATGTTTTTTCTGTTCCAATAACACTATCCAAGACGTCCATCTGTTTAAGACAACCATTGTGTTGTCTGCAACAATGGGTAGCTGTCTTAGACAATTTCGATTGTAAGTCAAGTCCATCATCAGCTTGACAGGTTGGCAGAACATTTACTTGATCTTTGAAACTTACACAAAACGATTTTTGATTGAATGATTCCCCTCACCCCACTCCCAAACACACATACACCCATTCCTCTTTCTTTAGTTTTTGTAAGAGTCTTACAGCACTTGCAACACAAATAGGTCAAATAAGTACCTCAGATTAGATGTTTAACTAGAAAGTAACATTTGAACAAAATAAGGAGGAAAGATAAGGACAATAGATGTTTTAACGGAGCAAACAACATTATCCACTGCCTCTTTCTTTAAACAGCAGACAAGATTATAACCAAATTTCAATTATATACCAGAACTGGTCTTTTAGGAAAATGATACATGATGTATACATGAGCAAATGGTGTTAGATTCACTAGCTGACCAATAATGCAAAGTTAGTTAGCTACTAAAAATTAGACTAGACTAACTAACCATTAATGCAAAGCTAATTAGCTACTGTTTTTTTAGAAGAAAACTACTAATTGCTCTTCTCTCAACTCTCCAAGCTTGCAAGGATATGAGACAACATAAGTTCACACTCATAAGAAAAGCAAAACGTTATGGCTCTCACAAAGCTAATAGACAAGTTAGAATTTGGAAAAGCACAACACGATCAAAAGACCAAGCCTTATCAAGATATTGTTGACCAATCTTTTAATTTTATTTTTGTGCTAGTCCACTAGACGGTTTACTACAAAGTTTCTGTTCTACTCAACAGTCTACCACCAGACCAGTCTGACAATTGTTCTACTCGACGATCGATTTGTCTGCTAGAATCAACAACCACAACCGACCCTAACCTTAACCCTAAACCTCGCCCCAAACTTAACCAACTCTGTTTTAGCTTTAGTAACAGGGTTTTTTTCAGCACTTGCAACACAAATAGATCATTATAAGTACTAAAGATTTGAGGTGTTTCTAGAGAGTATCATTCAAAGACAAGAAGAAGGAGGATGGATGTATGATAGGATAGAAGGAAGAAACTACACCAGAGTGCCCACCAACCATCCACTTTGACACAGCACAGTTAGACCATGGTCCATCCAGGCAAAACATCAAATGGACTGGCACCTATTGTTTCCCTCCCCCCTACCCAGTTCAGTCACAGCAAAAAGAAGGTGAGCAAGCCCTGTGCTTCTCCACACATTAGCACAACCGTGAACACACTGTTGTACACAGTGCCCAAGAACAACTTCACATAGATAAAATAACAATCATAATGTAATTGTTTCCTAAACCGGAAATTCAGGCAGAAAAAAATTTAACTGTTCAGTTCTCTTGATAATTACTAAAACAAAAAACATTACGGATCACAGTTGGAGTTTGCTTGAGTAAAAATAGAAGCACATTAACACAGTAACAGATATACAGTGCAGGGATATAGTAAGACTGACAGACGGACAGGCAGAAGTAACATAAGGAAAGAAAAGAAGTCACATCTCCAAGTAGTGCCCTCCAACCGCCCACAATTTGAGGACCAGAATGAAACAAGAAGTCGGCAGCTGGAATGTAGACCACTTTTCCAAATAAGAGACAGTGGAGTGACCAACTACGGTCAAACTTGCTCTAACAGCAACGGGTTTCAGACAATCAACCGTACAAACAGCCACTTCCCATTTTCCCCCTTGCGCCTTTATAACATTATAATGACACTGTGTGAGACGGCCACCTGTCTCATACAGCCACCTTTCTCCTCGACAATGGCTGTCCGTCTTAGACAGTTTCAAGAGGATTTCAAGTATTTTGTCCTTGGGAATTCACAATCTAGATCCCCTTCCCCCCTCCCCCCAAATGTCAGCTAAAACTTTTGGAAAAAGAAACATTTTTTTCAAAGTCACAAGCAAAACTTTTTAAAAAATATATATACAACTAACTCATAGACAAAAATCAATTTTGTAAATATTTACCAGAGATACTAGACATGTATGATACATGTATAATAATAATTAAATGGGTGTCTGATATCTTCGCAAAGGAGAACAAATGCTATTAGTAAGACCAAAATAAGAGGAAACAAAACTGGTGAATATCTTCTCGTTTTTTGGACTATGTCTCTCTAAATAGGCCTATAGCATTGTCTCCTTCTTTTGACTTCTCTACAAATATATTCTATTTTTTTTGTTTCATAAAATATTTTTTCCTTAAACCATATCTAACAAATTGCCTGATCACTTTGTCAACAGTCATTAAGCAGATAAATCTTCCCAGGGCAAACTAGGTTAGGAAAGTGTTACAAATAATAGTAGACAGTATCTAGGTCGTCTGACCAAGAGCAATCAGTGTACACCAGATTGCTATCTGATAGCCTGCAGATAACACAACCCTGTGTAATTATAAATCGCTGCAAACAATAGACAGCACAGCACGCACTTCACTTCACTGCAGTAACACACGGGGTGATCCAGCCCACACAGAATAATCAAACGTGCATGCACACACACACACACACACACACACACACACACACACACACACACACACACGCACGCACACGCATACATGCATACACTTTCATAGATCAGATTCGTGCACAAAGGAGATCATTCTTCTACTGACAAAGACGTACAACGCTTCAATACAACTACCATAGTGGGGACTGTATATTATATACAATACTTGTTTGAAGTGGTAATGGCTGTCTGTGGTAGAAACAGAGAGAGAGGGAGAAGGGACGGGGGGAGAAATAAGAGAGAAAGAGAGAGCGAGTGAGATAGAGAGGAGTATGAGAGAGAGAGAGGGGGAGGGAAGAAAGAATGAGAGACAGTTCAGACAGGTGCATGAGACAGATAGAGAGAGATAGAGAGAGAGAGAGAGAGAGAGAGAGAGAGAGAGAGATTGAGAGAGAGTCACATAGAGACATAGAAAAAGAGCGAAATAGACAGACAGACAGAGTATGCAAGAAAGAGAGACCAAAAGAGATAAGGGAGGGGGGAGGTCAAAAGATATAGACAAACGTAAGAGAACGACTGAGAAAGAATTGCACACCTAAACTCTTTTTCCTTGTAAAAAAGAAAACACACCTGAAATAATGTTAATGTTCCAACCTTTTCCCCATTTGCAAGCAAACCCAGTTCTCTACTAATGCACCTTTCAAATCATAGATGGATAAAGATACTTTACAGCAAAATCGTCAGCCCTGCTAACAAATCTAAATTCCATTTCCATTACGGAACGTTGAGTTTGGATAAAACACAGAATAGGATTTTTTAAAATAGTTGCCTCAAT